TCTGGGTCATTTATTGGCTCGGACAAAAAGACTTTTTGTTATAACATTAGAGGGCTAATTTGAAAAATACTTAATTGGAAATAACCATCCTGAGAATTTACTCTTAATTCAATTTTTAAAACTCATACTTACTCAGTTCCAATTAAAATTGTATGTTGGCTATTCTCAACATTAATTTTCACTCACTCACTTTATTTAATTATTTTTAATGTTAACTTAATAAAATAATATAGTTATGTCATTTTTTATTTCGTAGAATTTTGAAAATAATTTTTAAATTACACCTCAATTTCCAAATAAGTTAGTATGAAAATATTTTTACCCAAAAATCATAAACCGAAACAAACGATTTAATTTAAGAAGTAGGGAGTATTATTTTTTTCTAAATGGGCCTAAAAGTATCTTTTTTAGGTGATGTTTTACATATTATTGTAATTTTGTTTTCTGTTTAGGAAATCTCATATTTGGGCCGGGCCACCCACAAGTGGTGTCTCTGCCACACACACTCAAAAAGAGTTTTAATGCTGAAAAAGCAAGCGCTGTTAATCAAAATTCCAGGCCGGAGAAGACGATCAAGGAAGCCATGGCCATGGCGAACAAAGGAACGGAGCAACGCGAATGGGGGCAACGAGCATGGGCCCACTTCTTGGCCGTCCGGCAACGCTCGCCCTTAGTCCAGTGCATCACCAACTTCGTTTCAATGGATTTCATGGCCAACACGCTGTTATCCGCCGGCGCATCACCGGCGATGATCCATTCCTCCGACGAAATCCCGGAGTTCACTCCCAAGGCCCACGCGCTCTTAGTAAACGCGGGAACCCTCACCGCCGACTGGCTCCCCGGCATGAAATTGGCCGCTCAGGTTGCCGGGAGTTCGGGAAAGCCCTGGGTTCTCGACCCCGTGGCCGCCGGCGCATCCAGTTTCCGATTAATGGCTTGTTCGGAGCTTCTGGAGCTTAGCCCAACTGTTGTTCGAGGAAATGCCTCTGAGATTCTTGCGCTTTCTAAAGGTTGCGTTGATTCCAAGTCTAAGGCAAGTTCTGAGTTTCCTCCCCTTTGCATTGGCTTTTAAGTTATTATTAGGAACTTTCAATTAGAGAAGTACTCTATTAATTTTTTAGTAGATTATTAATTTAGAATTATTTTTAAAAGTTAGACAGAAAGCACATCCAATTTATGTATATAGAATATAAAAATAACAATAATCTTAGTTTTAATTTAGCTTTTGATTTTAAGTTAAATACCACATTGGAGTGTTTCTCTATTAGTTGGTCAAAACTGCTTATAAGTTGTTTTAAGCTGACTTATAAGCTGCTTCTAAGTAAAAAAAAAAAGGTAAATAGGTTTTACCTACTTATTTTTAACCCAAGTTTTTCTCGCTTCTCCGTTTTGACCAGATTATTTACAAAACGTTCCCTCCCCATTTATGAATATATCAAACTGACTTATCTACTTATCAAAAGTTGTTTATTAACACAGAGAAACACGAGATTTGGTTACCTAATATAGTAATATTTCTTCCACCCAGTAGAGTTGAAATGAAATATAATATATTAATATCCACTCTTAACACCTAGTAAATAAGATGATCAAATCCCAAACATGATAAATTACACTCCCTGAGTTTGGATTTAATTTTAAAGTGTCAGGAATTAATTATACACTTTCTATATTTGAAAAAAGTAGTGTTAATTATAAAAAAAATATTCTCTAAACAGGATATTAGGCTTTAGGCCTTTAGGGTGGATTTGTACATGTCCGTGATACAAGTCATACAACATATGGAATCACAAGAGAGAGAGACCTATGGTTGCATATGTGTATGTACATGGATTGTGTGAAAAATTTGCACACAATAGTATGGGATAGTAGATAATTAATGGAAAGGGTAAAGTAAACTTCTTGAATTGTTGAAGTATCCAAAAATGGAAAGGTGACATTCTTTGTTTTTAATTGGGACAACTCAGAAAAAAGAAAGTACTCCGTATGTTATATTTATGGGGAGGGAGGGCGTATGACACACTTCTTAGCATAATATGAATAAGGTGAAATTGATTATGATGTCCTTGAGGTGATAAGTGATACTCCTTCTGTCCTATAAAAAGGGTCCATGTTTTCTTTTTTCATCCGTCTCAAAAAAAGTTCCACTTTTCACATTCGCAAATTTTGGTAAAGTTTTTGTGGCCGATATATATTTCTTTCTCCTCTGCACCACCGTCAACAACAGAAGTTTACATTTTTAATCTCTGTGTCAAGCCAAACGCGGAACCTTTTTACAGGACAAAGGGAGTAACTTATAGACGTGATAGTCCATTGCCAATGGAGCTAAAAAAGCCATTTTGACATCTTCATCATCTTCATCATCTGATGACATCATCATCATCTTCATGAGCAGATGAATAATACAGTCATTCATTCAACTAATCTCTTCAAGGTTTGATTTCCCTTCAAGGGTGTCGACAGCATTCACGGTTCAGCTGATGCCATAGAAGCAGCAAAGTCTCTGGCTCAGTCAAGTGGAACCGTAGTCGCTGTTTCTGGGGCTGTTGACATTGTCACAGATGGAGAAAGGGTTGTCGGCGTGCGTAATGGGGTGCCCATGCTGCAAAAGATCACTGCATCCGGGTGCGCCGTGACTGCCCTTATAGCCGCTTTTGTTTCTGTTGACCCGCTGCATGCTTTAGAAGCCACTGCTTCTGCGTTTTCTGTCTTTGGCATTGCCAGTGAGGCTGGATTGGAGACAGCCCGAGGCCCAGCTTCACTGCGCACAAACTTGATTGATTCGCTTCATAGCCTTGGCGAAGACGCCGTGGTTTCAAGGGTTAGCATTCACAGCCTGTGAATTGTCTGTCTCAGGTAAATCAACTGGTTTTTCTAAGAACAGTTTCATAGATGACAATAGATGAAAATACGAGCAAAAAGGCTTTGAATTGAAGTTCATACAAACAAGACAACACATGTGTATTGATTTTTGAGATTCGTTGTGTCCGTTGCATATGAAGCTAAAAACTCATTCGTGACAACGTTTGAGCTTCGGGCAAATAATGGGCTAAAATCAGAGGATGATACATTAACTTCATTTGCTTCTTAGTTACTTTGTATGAAATTTTGGATGGGAAAAGCTGCAATGTGTCATGGGTGTAACAGAAACATATATGTTTGTACAAGGGTATGCCAGAGGCTGCAATATGTTGATTCCTTTGTTTCTGGTTTATGTTGTTCATTTGAGCTTTACAATGTCTTATACTATCACCTCCCACAAAACATTTCCTATTTTCGGTTTTAGGGGAATTTAAGAGAGATTTTTCCTTTGACTTACTCAAATTGGCTTTAGATGTGATGGATCAAAATAAGATATGATGAATATATTAGTAGTGAATATACATGATGTGATAGTTAGGGTAATTATTTCTAGGAGTAAAAGGCCTTGTTTGAAACACCATTTCGGATGGCTACTAGCATCTTTGACTGACTTTGGCTTTTTAATTAATCGAATCGCCAAAACTATTGTTGTTTAATGGCTTTTTCACTTGGATGTTTGATCTGAAAAACTAAAATCTGAAAAGCCAAGGGAAGTAGCTTTTGGACTTGCCCGATAGAAAATTTAATTTTCTTAATCATTGTTTGAAAGATATTCAATAATGTATGTAAAAAAAATAAAAAATAAAGTTAAAAAAATAAAAAATAAGATTTAAAATTGAAAATTTAAAAAACAAAATAAATGAAATGAGAAAATCAAAAATCATTTAAAGCATTTTATATATATATATATATATATATATATATATATATATAAACTTTATATCCAAAATTTGGTCAAAATCTTTGGACTTAGGGCAAAAAGTCAAAAGAAACAATAAATTAAGACGAAGAGCTAGAGTATTTTAATCCATCTCATAATGAAATTTATTTCATCCGTACATTTTGATTTTTCTCATTTGATTTTTTCCAGTTTTTAATCCAATACTTTAAAGTTTAAATATCAATATTTTTATATATAAATAGATACTCACGGTATATAATATAAAAATATAACATTTCAAAATGAATTTAATGATATTATTAAATTTATATCATAGTTTAATGCATTTTTTTTAAATAATTTCTAGACAAAGTCTAAATTTATTGACTACTAAAATCAAATTCAAAAAGATCAAAGTGGAGGGAGGGAGTATAATTTTTTTCTTCCGTTTCAAAATAAAGTGTGCACCCTCTATTTCTTTTCCTCCTAAAAATTATTATTTAAATCTCATATTTTATTTTAATCCCCCCAACATAGAGAGGAACAAGTAGTCCGAAAATGAGGTTATTTGTCCTCCACTTTGTTCCCCTCTCTCCAATCCTTTGACTTCCAATTTTCACTCAAAGCTCAATTCACATTTGTCTGGAGTCTCCTTATCGGAGTCTATGTTTTGTCGCCTCCTTATCGGAGTCTATGTTTTGTCGCGCACTATTTTAAATTAGAGACTCCTTCCACCAAATCAATGTTGCTAACTCTTTTTTCTTTGTCTCTTTATGGATAACTGGATTGGGCAATAAGATACTTAAGTTGAATCACATTAAAAGATTGAATCCAATCGATTAGTCAGTTCAACTCAAGAGCTTATATATCGATTATTTTGTTCTTGAACTTCCGATGTGGGATGACACTCTAACACTTTCTAAGTCGTGCAATAGCAACAATAATAACAAATTCAGTAAAATTTTACATACTGTAACATGTAATTAAATTGTATCTGTACGAAGACCTTATTGCTACTAAAAGAAACTTTTCGCTCGAGCAAAATAAAACCAACCAAATAAAGCAGGGAGCACAAACAAAATAAGAACAATGCGATCACAAAGAGCAATAAGGACAAAGAGAGGGAACTTAGACAAGGAGCACACAAATCGCAACAATTTTTTTAGAATGTCCAAGAGTTTATATCACAAAAAGGTTGAATCCCAACCTCTCAGTATTTGCCAAAACAATATAGGAGGGTCAAAGGTAAATGAAACTATAATTTTAGTATAATTGATTTGAAGTGAGGTCTAGTTCATATACAATAACCTAATACAAAAGATGTGATCATTATTTATCGTCGTTGTCAGGAATTGAACGTAACAAAAATTTATACTAGAGACAAGCTGATCCGAGCAGTACAACATTAAAAGCCAACATGTCTGGGCAATGGTATATGTAGGACATCTGTGTATGAGTCAACTCGGTCCCCTGCACCAGGTTAATAACAAGCAAAGAGTTTGAAAGATGTTTTATCAAAGCTAAGTGGTTATCATAATTATTACACTTTGTGCTGCGTGGTCCACTTAATTACGACATTAAAACAGTGCTACCAAATCTATCACAAATTTCGTACAATTAATTTTCAAGCAAGGCTTAAAAGAAGCACTAACACTATTTTATAATCGGTACTAATTATCCACTATGACATTTTAAATACATTGAAAAGTAAATAAATAGAATATAAACATGTAATAAGTCTACATTAAATTATTTTTTAATATATCTAAAAAGTTATAATGAACAATTAATATACTACATAAAATAAAAAGGAGTACTTATATGTTCATCAGTTCATTGATATAAAAATACTATCTCCGTCCCAGTGCATTCACTCACTTTGACTTTTTCGAGTCAAACTGAACAAATTTTGAACCTCAATTAAATAAAAATGGTTAAATATTTTTGTATGAAAATTATTTCAATAGATTTATATTGTTGAGAACTATTAAATATTTAAATTATTGTATCAATATGCAACACAAATTAAAAGTAATTGATGATTAAAATTTGTTCAATTTGATTTGAAAAAGTTAAACTGAATGAATACATCGCGACAAGGGAGTATTCACTAATCCAAAGTAAATTCACTAATCCAAAGTAAATGATGTACAATATATACCTACGGTTGCATGATAAAACTATAATTTGACACAGTACAATTTTTAGCTCTAATGATGTGCGGAGAACGTACAAATTAAAGTACTACCACATGGTCAAAACCTTAATTAATCTTTCTATCTAGTCATTAGTCAACTTAAACTATTTGGGCGACGTTAGCTTTCTAATTTCATACTATTTGAATACTTCCTACCTCTCAAAATCATTGTTATAGTTTGATTTTTAATTTGTAGCTTCTTGGATCACATATTAAATACAACTATAAATAAAAAATGATATAAAAATTTGATATATCAAAACTACTTTTAAAATGAACCTAATTATATATTAAATTTATATTATGACTAAATATGATTTTTTCACTATAATACGGAGTAATAAATTAGAACGATAATTTTAGGAAAGGATGAGTATTCAATTATTATTGTCTAAATTTCAGTTCTTAGTCTATACATGGGAGAAGGATCAAAGTAGTAGTAAATTTCAGTTCTCAGGCTCCGTTCCGTTCAACTTATTTTTTCTGATCTGATCTGATTCTAATAAGTTCTGATCTGATCTGGTCTGATCTGATCTGATCTGATCTGATTGGATCTGATCTGATCTGATCTGATTGGATCTGATCTGATCTGATTGGATCTGATCTGATTGGATCTGATCTGATCTGATTGGATCTGATCTGATCTGATCTGGTCTGATCTGATTAATTATGATTTAATTTAAAATTTCAAATCAATAATTTAATTTGACTTTATAATAACGTTTGAAAATTGTAATGATAATTTATATTATAATATAATCAATATTTTTTATTTAATGATTATTTTTTAATAAAATAAAAATAGTTAATTAATATATTAGAATAATCATTCATATTATAATGTAATAATATTTTTTATTTTATGATTATATTTTTGTAAAATTAGAATTATACATTAGAATAAATATTGAATTTAGACATACAATAAAAAGTAATTAAATGTAGATAATCAATATATAGAAGAGATAGTATTTTTATTAAAATATCTCATCCTTATAAAAGATCAAAAGTTTAAAAACTTAAATTACAAGTAGCAATAAAAATATATTTTAAAAGTAGAATTAGATTGACATTGTCAATGTATTTTAAAACTAATTTTTCCGACATCTAATAATTAAGGATTTCTTTCTCAGTTTTCTATTTAACCTATTTCTAAAGTTTATTCTTTTTCATTTTTAAGAACAATACTAATAATAATGATGATGATGATGATGATGATGATGATAATAATAATAATAATAATAATAATAATAATTTTGATGGGATCTGATTTTAATAAGTCCTGATCTGATCTGATCTGATCTGATTGGATCTGATCTGATCTGATTGGATCTGATCTGATCTGATCTGATGTGATTCGATCTGATCTGATCTTATCTGGTCTGATCTGATCTGATTTTAATAAGAATAAGAAAAAATAAGAAAAAATAAGTTGAACAGAACGGGGCCCCATTCTATACATGGGACCAAAGTTACTTTTACCCATATTAATTTTTAATCTACCTAATTACCTATCACATGCATGCATCACACGTTTAATAAATCACATCCAAGTGTATTTTTGGAAAGTCAACACTAAAACACACACACTCCCCTTAAATCTCTTAAGTCAAAATCAGAAATGTTTTGTGGAATCAAATTTGAATTGATCCGAACTCCATGCGGCCGACCTTAGGTTAGCGAATTCTAATCCTTGTTTAATTAATTAAGTTTTTTGCGTATATATACAAATTTCACACACACACATATAACCACAACATTAATAATATAATCCATTATCTGGCCCTCCATCATAGGAGTATATCACATCATGCATGTATTCATGTCTCACCCATTGTAATTTCTTGTATGTTGTCTATAAATACTCAAATCACTTTGAACCCTAATCACCATGTCCACCATATATGCATACTCATCCTATACATGCATGCATGAGTATTAAAGACATATTAGAGAAATCAATATCATATGTATTGTGAGTAATACCAAAGGAAATAAAGAAAAACAAAATGAGCTCATCATCATCATCTTCATCAGTCGTCGTCTCAATCCCAAATGACGAAGATCGTCTCAAAAATACTGCCCCAGACATAGAACAACAACAACAACAACGGAAACATGATCAGCGCGAGGAAACGTTCTCTGGGTCTTCTTCTTTCGTTTCGTCCGTGAAGGGCACAATATTGACAAAAATGATGAAGAAGATGAGGAAATGTAGTAGTGAGTATGAGAAGAGAAGAAGAAGAAAGATGGTGCACAGCTTCAAAGTTGGGGTGGCCTTGGTGCTTGTCTCACTCTTGTATGTTCTTGACCCTCTCTTCCATCAAGTGGGCCAAAATGTCATGTGGGCCATCATGACCGTCGTCGTCGTTTTCGAGTTTTACGCAGGTTTTTCTTTTACTAGAGAGAGTATTTCTTATGAATAATAATTCATGATAATAATAATAAAATTAGGGTTTTACTTTTTTTTCCAGGTGCAACAATAAGCAAGGGCATAAACAGAGGGATTGGGACAATACTTGGGGGGTTATTAGGATGTTTGGCGGCCTTTATAGCCCGTAAATTGGGAGGCTTCTTACATGGTACTATTGTCGTCGCCATTGCCGTTTTCATTGTAGGTCAGCCACCATTCTTAATTGTGAAATTTCTCTTCTTAATTACTCCCTATTCTATTTTATCTAAACAAAAAATCTTCACATTAGTAGATGCATTCAAAATTGAAATAATTTAGTCCCTTTATTATTTCTTTTAGGTACAAAAATAGACTACTTTTAACATTTCTTAATAATATATACTCTCTCTGTCTCGAAATTGACCATCTGTCCTAAAATTAACTTTCCTGTCAAACTTTTTAAATTTAGACCGTATGATACAGAAAAAATAAATTGAATTTTTATAGAACTAATTTATTTTGAAACATAGTTTTTAAATATTTTAATTTCATAATATACATTTTTATATAAATAGAAATTTTGATAGTCAAAGTGTTGCATTGGAGCAATTTTTTACGACGGCAGGAGCAATTTTTTATCTTACGTCTCGGTAACTTTTTTTATTTGTAGTTTTTATTAATTATTTGATAAAAAATATTTGTGTCACTTCTTGTTTTGTGTATGTAATTAAGTCTTTTTTTTTTAAATTCTCATACGAATTTTTGAATAAAATAATTTAAAAAAATACAGGGTTTTAATTATTTCATAATACGAAATTGAGGTAAACGAAGAGGAAATTCAGAGTTTTTTCAATTCATTTTATTTAAAGATTGAGACAAAAGTAAAGAATAAAATCTACATATTTAAAAACTGCATAAAAAGTTTTACAAAACAAGAGACGAAGAGTATTTCATTTTATCAAATGATCAATGAAAATACATAAATAAATAAAAGTTATTGTAATTTTAAAATAGTAAAAATTGTAATCAAATCTGGGGGGATGGTGAATTAATATGTATGGATGGGGGTGCACTAGGTGTGGGGGCAACGTACGTAAGAATGATGCCGAGAATAAAGAGAAAATATGACTACGGGGCGTTGATTTTCATATTGACTTTCAACTTGGTGGTGGTGTCGGGTGTGCGGGCCGACAAGGTCATTCTCTTGGCCCGGGACCGCCTGTCCAATATCGGAATGGGCTTTGCGGTCTGCGTCCTCACCAGCCTGCTTCTATTCCCCCAATGGGCCAGCGACCAACTCCACTCCTCCACCTCTTCCACCTTTCTTCACATCGCCTCTTCTCTCCAAGGTAAACTTATTTGAATCTCTTTCTTTTCTATTTTTCTCCATGGTATAAGTATATTGAATTGTGAGATAAATAAATTTAATGTCGATAGAATTATTTCGGCATGTAGTTTTAAAGTCTCACATTTTTATAATTTATGAATACCTACAAGATATTAATGGTCAAAGTCTTGCATTGAAAATCATTAAAAGCCAAATGAGAAGAAACATAGGGAATATATATTCTTTCTTTCTTTTAAAGATATTCTAATAAATCTAATCTAACCTACTCCATTTTTTCTATGCCCTCTCCATTTTTACATTTTCCAAATTCTACTTGTTTCAAATGTCGCCATTTTTCCTTTGTCAAATTTCTATTGTTTCTCTCATTAAAGTCAAAACTAGAGAAATTTTGTGTGACGGAAGAAGTATAATTTTAATAAATAGATGTTATAATGATTTGATGTATCAANGTGTTGCATTGAAAATCATTAAAAACCAAATGAGAAGGACGGAGGGAATATATATTCTTTCTTTCTTTTAAAGATATTCTAATAAATCTAATCTAACCTACTCCATTTTTTCTATGCCCTCTCCATTTTTACATTTTCCAAATTCTACTTGTTTCAAATGTCGCCATTTTTCCTTTGTCAAATTTCTATTGTTTCTCTCATTAAAGTCAAAACTAGAGAAATTTTGTGTGACGGAAGAAGTATAATTTTAATAAATAGATGTTATAATGATTTGATGTATCAAGACTATATATTAAAATAAAATTAATTATATTAAATTTACATATAACTAATAAATATACTTTTTTTTAAATATAATGTAGGGTGTTTGGACGAGTACATGGCGATTTCGGATGAGAAGAAAAGCGGAGAAAGTGCCGACGTCAGTGCTTGCAAACGTATCTTGTATTCTAAGGCCAACGACGAATCTTTGGTAAGTGCTTAAGTACATAGTCCAAAGTCAACTAAATCTTGTGGCATGTAATTGATGGGGATGGGGTATGTTCGGGCCGGGCCGGGGGTTGAGGGTTTATCGGGAGGGGGGGGTAGAAACTATCAAATTTTGAAATGGAGCATCGTATGAACCTCGGATCATCTCATGCCATTGAATCTCATATCATGGGAATGAAGGTGTATTAATAACGTAGTGCATCATTATTATTATTAATTATCATTATCATCATCATCATCATTTGATGAAAACCGTTTTTTCGGGGCGTCGACCCGACGAACTTGGTATCGGGTCAGTACCACACCGAATAGCGAAATTTAATAAATAAATAAATAAAACGGGTAGAAAGTATTTATACGTGGAAACCCAAATCGAGGAAAATCCACGGGCCTTTTTAGGCGGTGTCATGCCAATGGGAGGAACCTTTATTAATCTCGAGAGAATTTACACATACATCTTTGTAGAAATTTAGAGCCATTAGTGGAACTCTAAAACTTAAAGGGAAGAAGAATTATAGCATTATGAGATCTCTCTTGAATATCTAGGAATTGGTCTCCTAGGAGAAGAATGGTCTCCCCTCTCTTGGGAATGACCTCCCATCTTAAAGGGAAGTTAGCATATCACATCGGGCCCCTCCTCTATGTGATACTCACATGGGTCTCATGTGGGAGTGTTTATCACGGGTCCCACTCAATATTTACATATAACTTCAAATTATTTCTTCGTCTCATATTTCTGGCTCCATCTTGAATAGTTTATCTGATTTGTATATTTGGTCAGACTGAATTGAGCTTACTTGTACTGTTAAAATAATATTGGATTAGGTATGGACAATCCCTAATCCATCATCATTACTATTATTCAGGCAAATTTTGCAAAGTAGGAACCATGGCATGGGAAATTTGGGTTCTCCTACCCATGGGATAAGTATATGGAGATTGGAGAAGCACTACGAGAAGTTGCTGCCATTGTTATTTCACTCAAAGCTTGCATTATTCGATCCATGCAACAGGTAATTAATTAATTAATATGGATCTAGTCATATATAAATTAAATAGGTAACCAAAATTATAATTAGTTCACATATATGCTCTAAAATAAAATAGTCAAAATACTTTCTCCATCCCAAATAATCTTTTCTCATTTGACAGAAAAGGGTTTATTTCAACAATTTTTCTTTATGCTCAAACACGAAAAAACTAGTGTAAAAAAACAATTTTTTGAAGTTAAATGTGCTTTTAATCAGTTCTAATTGTTTTTGTTAAAATCAGCAGCCATTAACCCCGACACAACGAGAAACGGTGAAAGAGCACAGCGAAAGAGTGGGTTTAACGTTGGTGTGGGTTTTGAGAGAGATGGGAGAGAGCATTAAGGGCATGAGATTAATGTCCACAACCAATAATCATAATCATAATCACAAACTGAAGTTGTGTCCGACAAGCATTATTACTATTAGTAATCCTCCCAACTTGTTGGAGCTCATGGAGCAAGAAGACAGAGACAACCTCGTTCATGCTGTCATCGTGGCGGCTCCGGAACAGCTAGGAATGTCGAGCTTCGTTTTCATGTTGAACGAGATGTCGAAGAAGGTCGAAGCGTTGGCGATGAAGGTGGAGCAACTCGGCGACATTGCCGGATTTCGCAGCGCCGATGACAAGCTAGCAGAAGTCTGATTGTAGTATGTGTGAAGTCTTTCTTTCTTGGTTGACCTCAAAAGTCAAAACACACCGGCCACGTGGATAATGGAGCCGGTCAGTCAGGGAAAAATCACTGTAAGAGCCCCTCATCAGTCCCAAAAACCGTTGTCCGACTCTCATATTCCACCACTTAGATGTTGTAACATAGCACAAAAATACGGAGTATCTTATTTTATTGTTGTGTTATGTGTCAAACATCTGAAGGGTGAAAAGATAGCGAAATACTCCGTAACATTTTTTTGGGACAAGGGATCTATTCTTGGAGAGTTGGTACCAACTACAAATCTATACTGTTCAATATATAATTCCAAGACTATTATTATTATTATTATTATTATTATTACTATTATTATTATTATTATTATTATTTATGCACAATGAGTTTTTTTTGGGTAGATACATATATAGAAAATGCATCATCAATGTATGTATCATGATGATTATAAATGTGGCAATTTTTAGCGTGTAAGTTGACATTAATATGCAAATGCAATGCTGGAGTTAAAAGACAAATAAAAAACATAAACAAATGAATAATAAGGAATTCTGGCAAATATTCAACCTTCTTTCCATACCGACTAAACATATATAACACAGAAAAAGATGCAGTCATGGGGAAAACCATGTAACAATGGATGTGGAGATGCTATGAGCCTAAAACTACTCTATAAGTGTGTGGATTTACAAAGTGGTAATGAATGAAAGATGAAACCTTTTCATCAAAAATGTCAAAGAAAACCCAGTGACAAGTCTATCTGCTGCACCAGCATTATTCACGCAAAAACTCAAAGCCCTGATGTTCAAGGAGTACTGCAGCAGGTTTTACACCAGTAAAATTGATGTCTCTAAGAGAACGACTGAGCTCCTCAACTGCGAACGGAATACTGCACAGATTTTTTTTATTTTATAAAAGAAACAGGTTTTTTTTACAGTAAAGAAACAGGTGAATGATTGGAAGAAGAGTTCCATTTTTCTAGGAATGACTATTGTTAATTGATTTGTACCTTGAATTGTCGTCCAAAACAAAGGAGTGATTCTCGGTATCATCGGAGTTCCCTTCTGATAGTAGGACCTTGATGCTGGCAATTACCTGGTGCAACGTGCAGGGTTGTCCACAGCACAAGAATGAACAAATGTAATTAGAAAATGGGCTTTTGCGAATGTGAAACGTTGTCATTCTTGATGATGTTTTTAGCTGTGTGCTGAATCAAAATGTCACATTTTAAGACATTGATCTTGTTTGGGAACAGCTTTTTCGATTAGCGTTTTGGATAAAATTTTAATGGTGTGGATTAATTCTGAAAATGCTAACGCTAAAGGTTACCTTCAGATAGCCTTTTCAAAACGCTAATGCTAATCTAATCTCTAACGCTGATGCCAAACGGAGCCATTGTTATTCTTGATGAAATATCAAGGGTCTATAAAATGGCCTCCATATTTTAGAGGGCTGCACACAGCATGATTACCAAAGGAGTTGGAATTTGTTGTATTTATGCAAAGATGTAAGGGAGAACTCACATCTGCTGATACACTTTCAGTGTTGTTGCTGTCATCCCAGCATAGCATGCATAATCTGTAGAGCTGTTGACTGCTCAGAATCTGGAAACATGTAATACCAGAGACAAGGAGTTGTCAAGATTCAGTCATATGTTCGGAAAAATAAATGTTGCAAAATTTAAGCCAAACAGGGTCACGCACGGCTATTTTCGGGTCTATATATCAACGTGATCTAATAACAGTTTGGGCTGTTACGAAATGATAGACGTTCAACTAAGTAAGACGAATATTTTGATATATTATACGCCAAACATGATTAACAAATTTGATGGATACTACATATGGGGTTATAGAGAGAGAGAGAGAGAGAACACGCTTTAGAGAGAAAATGCTCAAATTGTATTATGTCAGAATGAATGTGTCTCCTCCCACAAGCTGGGAAGGGGTATTTTTAGACAAAGATGAGTGCATGTAGGCGAAAAGGCCTAACAACCTTTGTTCAATTTCTTTACAATGTTGTTCTATCTCTAAAAAAGAGAGATTCTGAACATGTTATGGTTTCTATTTTCTGTCAGATAATGACATAATCTCAAGCTTTCACCCAAGATGGAAACACTCAGGTAACAAAAACAAAAAAGAAGAAACAAGAACAATCACAAACAAACAGAAACAAAAAAGCAGAAATGCTTACAGGGCACAAGTCAGTTATAAGATCATCATAGGTGATTCTTGCCTTATGATGCAGAACCTGCAAATGAATAGTACTCCCTAAGTTTCTATTTATTTAATTGCCTTTCATCCTTAATCACGGTTTTTGAAATCAAATGGTGTTATATATGTAAAGAAATTGTCCTTCAAATAAGATATTCCTCCATTACCAATGGACGAATTCACGCAACTAATGGACGAAATCGTAGTGACTCATTGAACTTCCTTTGCCTTTTTACTTTCTATGAAGTTTTGGGAAGTACATATTTTTATTAAAAATATGAATTAAGTGAGTCAAAAACTGCTGAGAAAAAAAAGAGAGAGAATAGATACCAAGAATCCAACTGCCTCCCTTATATGTCTCAGCTCATCCCAAGAGGGACCTACAAACTGCAACAAAGACTTTTCATTAAAGCCATACCAACAAAAAGCATGGAGTTGTCATTTTGAAATAAAGTTTAAAGATATAATAGCATGACCTAAACATATAGATAGCACTATGCCTATTCATTACAATAGTACCTCTTCTTTTGTATGTCTACACCAAAGTTCTAATTCATCTAACCCAGCTTTTATATGTTCACCATTGTTGAAAGTACAGCATTCTTTTTGAAGGAGGATGCTGGAGCAATATCACTTACCCTGTTAAGTTACAGAAAGTGTAGTATTGAACCAAAATAAAGTATATATGGGATAATGAGAAAAGATACCTGTTAAATAATTGTACATTGATATAAGAGAAAATTTGGATGGTCATATTCTGCACAAGAATTTGAGGTACCTGAAACAAACTTATATTCTTATATGACTGTTTATATGACATTGGTAGATCACATGATGATGTGGGAATGCTTTCATACATAATTTTCATTCAATATATTGACAAGCCCATTAAGATTCTCAGCAATGCTTTGCCATGGGTTTCCTGGAGAGCTTCCACTGGATTCTGTAGGAGCCTAGATATGATAAGAGGAAAGAAATTAGACATCAGAAAATTACAATACAAAGTAGGGGACAAGCTAAGGGTTTCAAAACTGAAGAAAAATTGTATGCATAAAAGCTACGTGAAATTAAATGAAACAGACTCTATAGACTATAGCCACAGTACACCTTGAAACTACAATCACTCAAAGTATTTAGGGAGGTGAAGACAAAGCTAAATTGAAAGGGACAGAGTATCAACCATGCAGATTCCTTTACACTCTGTTTGGTTTGGGGAATTATGAGGGAAAGTAAAATGCCAAGAAAAAGAAAACAATGCCAAGAAAAAGAAAACAAAAGAAACCCAAATCTTGTTTGGTTGGTAGACAAATTAAAAAGGAAATTACTTTCAATGACATTATTTTTTTCTCAAGAGGACATGGTTGTGTGTGTGTGTGTGTGTGTGAGAGAGAGAGAGAGAGCAAGTTGACCAAAGGAGAAGAGACGTAGACATAGAAAGAGTCATAAGTCCAACCTACAGTTTTCTATCCCTTTCCTTACCAAAATGGAAGGAAAAAGACTTTTCCTTTTTTACTGTATATTTTCCTCACCTTTTCTTTCCTTCCAATTTTCTTTTCCAAAATCTTTTCCTTGTCATTCTCTTTACTTTTCCCTTCCAGATTCTTCGAACCGGACATAGAGTTGGTAGAAGATATGTTATTTTTTGAATAAATCTAACAAATAAAGAATGGTTCCCAATTCTACTCTACTAATACCTTAATAGAAAATTAAAATTTAAGTTGGATTTGATTTGAAGGTATATAAGGCTTGATGTATTAAAGACAAACCACACACACAAGACAGATATATCTTTGATTCCAGATTCATTGTAGTAAACTGCTGTAAGAAGAGTGGCTCACTTTGCTAAAGGGCAACAGAAAAAGAAGTCAGCACACAATGAATCTAATAATAACATTGAAGAAGCTTTAAAATGTGAATAGTTACCTGGATACATGAAGAAAGTAATGAAGACAATTCCTTTTTGTGGTTCTCTCTGATGATTCCATAAATCTTCTCGACATAGGCAGTGAGCTGTTGCTTGAAAAGCAAAGCAGGATACTTTGCTTCAACCTGGCGGATTCCATCCAGCCCACCAACTGAGAGATTGGCTGAAGAAAGAGATGACCTGCTGAACATCCTTCCAAAAAAAGTTGTTGGTTGGGGAGGTTTGCTTGGGGTGGAAACTGTATTAGCTCGTAGTGTATGTTGTAGCAGAAATAGTAATATGGATGTGTTTGACAGCCAATAAGCCATGCACTTGTTGTTTGACTCATCCTATGAGAGAAAAAGCAAATTAAATAGAAGAATTCAAGTTGGAAACATGCATGGGTTCTAATTAAGCATAAAAAGTTATGTGCTTTGGAATGGGATCAATGCAACTGTTTGGACATTGGAGTTACTATAGCTGTTTGGTGTTTTTATTACTCCATCCATTTCATAATACTGATCCCAAATTGAACTTCATGGTCTCTGGTACAACAGTTTGAACATTATTATGTGTAATTATATGTAATAAATACACTAATGCAGTATATTCTAAAATAGTACAATACTTCAAAATAAATTTAAGGATATTAATTTCACAATTCACATTTAACATAATGTGTTTTTACACAAATCATAGTCAAATTATAACAGAATGTTTGACTACTGACTTCAATGTCGGACGAATATTATGAAATAGAGGGAGTATTACTCAAGGGTTACTTTTAATTAGTGTGGGTTAGTTTTAATGTTGGGTTGTTATCATCTCATGTTTTCATAAGTAACCAATCTAACAATGCTTGTGTTTACAAACTTAGCAGATCAGGATTCACATTGTGTATGCTCTATTTTTAGGGGTTTGTAAATTGTAAACGCTCTCTATTCAAGATTCACGGTCAAGTTCTGGGCTTTGCAAAAAAAGAAAAGGAGAAGCTTGCCCTAAGGCTTGCAAAAAATTACTATAAGGTGACATAAGTTTTGTTGTAAAGACTTAAAGGTCCTCTTCTTTTTCAAAAATACTCCAAAGCTATTGAATTTGATTGTAAAGATTTAGAGGGGGTCTTCTGTGCTAGCATCTCAATGATCGGAAAACAATTGATCTGATTTCCTTAAAATTAGTATATTTCCCATTATGACCTTAGCAACAAAAAATAGTGTACTTAAAAAGGAGATATGAGTCTCCATCTACTAAGAAAGCTGCGGATTGGAAGAAGCAAGGAGGTAATTTCCCTAGGGTTTTGCTGTTTGCCAGCATAGTTCCAGTTTGCTTTGCTCTTAGGCACAGGTAAGGTTCTTCTCGCTGTTTTTGCAAGGGGAAGAAACCAGGTTGTAGAATGCACTTGTAGGAGTAATGAATGGCTGAACCACCAAAGAACAAAAAAAAAAGAGAAAATGGAGCAAAAAAAAGAACATCATCAATTGAAAGCTGCTTCTCGAACAGCTCTTTACCAAAAAAACCCTACTCACAAAGTTTATGTTTGCTCATAAAAATAATAATTCTTGAATTAAGATGATATGTACATATTTTGTGCTAGCCATGGCGACTAAAAAAAAAGAGATGACACTATGACTCTGTTCAATTCACTTTCAACTTTTAACTCTCAACATTTTTAATGCCTTATAATTTCTTTCAACTATTTCCAGTTTTTCTAAAATCTCCCAATTTCTTCCAACAAAGACTTTAAAAAAATTATTTAGATGAATTTTCATATATTATTATTATTTCAATAAAATAAAAGATTAGTTTAATGTCACAATTCATAAAACTTATCCTTGAAAAATCTTAGGATTTTGAATGCTAGGGAGGAGCTCAAGAGTATTGATATATCTTTATCAAAGGGCATTTTGGGCATTTTATTATTATCAAAATGCAGGCGCCGTATTGTCCCCTTTAAGCCTTTACAATTAAATTTAATGGCTTTTGAATATTTTTGAAAAATTGGAGGACCTTTGAGTCTTTACAACAAAACTTATGTCACCTCATAGTAATTTTTTGCTAAGGCTTGTGTGGATATACACAGTTCTTTTTTCCCAATCTGGAAGAACATGGCTTAATGAGGTCACACATGGTTGGTCCAGTATATTTCAGTACAGGTTTTTGATGATAGATCAACACTGTTTAAAGCAACACAAATAAAAGATCAAGATTCCCCAAAATATATGCATCTTGAAACAACGCTGACACCTGTTTAAAAATATTGAAACAAATCTGCCACCTGGAGCATAGCCATCATTTTTTGTGCCATGGTGTTCTCGTGTTGCAAGCTAGGACTGCACTGGCATCATATTTGGCTATCTCTATGAACTGTGATTTGGGAGTCCAATTTATTGCAAATATTATTTTATCTCTTAGAGAAATGATTACATCTTATTAAGGTGATTGTATAAATAGTCAAATGTGGATCAGTAGGGTTCACCCATTACGATGGATTCTAAAACCAGATCTTTATGAGCCTGAGGATTGAGATCATGGTAGTCAAACTCTAGATTCTACGTAGGATCGATAAGCATAATGAAGATCGTAACATCGTAAGATCGTGACTCGGATCGTAAGATCCTACTATATATATATATATATATATATATATATATATATATATATATATATATATATATNTAGAGAAATGATTACATCTTATTAAGGTGATTGTATAAATAGTCAAATGTGGATCAGTAGGGTTCACCCATTACGATGGATTCTAAAACCAGATCTTTATGAGCCTGAGGATTGAGATCATGGTAGTCAAACTCTAGATTCTACGTAGGATCGATAAGCATAATGAAGATCGTAACATCGTAAGATCGTGACTCGGATCGTAAGATCCTACTATATATATATATATATATATATATATATATATATATATATATATATATATATATATATATATAGTGTAAATTAAATTTTAATAAAACATAATACAAGTTCAAGCAGGAGAAGAAAAAAGCAGAAAGAAGGAAAAAAAACCGAAGGAAGGATATTAGAAGTCTATTGGCAGGAGAAGTCTGGATTCCCAAATAAATAGAAGATAAGGCCGATAGCCTGATATTATGCTGGTTTCCGATTTAATTTGGGAATAAATTAAAGAAGAAACGTTGTTTCCGATCAAAACTGGGAGTCGCGACAGAAGCGACTCTCCAATTGCAATTCCGGACGCGATTGGGAGAAGATTTCTAAGCGACGCTATTTGGGCTTCTCACAATCGGCGATTGTATGCGCTCCTGCGTTTTTACGATCCGAATCGCCGATCCTGGCGATCCCAGTGGATTACGCGATTCTGCAGCCGCGCCGGATCGAGAAGCTCCCGGCGATCCTCAGACTCGTAGACTCGTACGAGTCAACTCGCGAGTTTGACTACCATGATTGAGATTGTGTCCGTGGTCATTAGGTTGAAGGGTGAAGTTGTTTGGAGCTTTCTATGGTGGAAGTGTGGGTTACGAGCTATGGCATGCAAATAATATGAGTGATCAATGGGTTATACAAAAATTTGATAACAGACTAAAGAATAGATAGATGTAGTTGAGTTCTCCTCAAACTCCTTTTGCTAATTATTTGAAGGAAAAATTTAGAGCAATACTCCAAAAATTCCGATTTACAAGAATACTCCGAAAATCAATTAATTACACCATTACTCCCACAATTGCTCTATTTTTACAGTAATATCTACATTAATTTTTAAACTGATGACTTGGAAAATAAATCACTTTTTTCAGTTTTTATAAAAAAAAAATTACTTATTCTTCCGCCAACTCAGATATCAATCTCCTATTTTAAGAGTTTGTTCTTTTGCGTTTGAAAAGTTAACTTCCAACTTTTCTAACTCATTTTAATTTTTTCCAAGTCTTTATAGTTTTTGCCATCATTCAGCTTTAGAATTCTAACCAAAAATGTCATGCCCTACTTGTGAGGGGCGTGATTGATATTTGAGTTGGAGGAGGAATAAGTAATTTTTTTATAGAAACCAAAAAAAATTAATTTTTTTTCAAATCATCACTTTAAAAATCCATTTAGATATTACACAATTTTATTGTGCAAGTAAGGTGGTGGGTGGAGTATTTTTGTAAAAAGAGAGAAATTTTGGGAGTAATGGTGTAATGAATTGATTTTTAGAGTATTCTTGAAAAATCAGAAATTTTTCAGAGTATTGTTGTGAATTTTTCCTTATTTGAAACATTTTTTTTGCTTGATTTTTATTCAATGATATACTCCTATTAAAATTGAGAGACACGATTAACCCCCCCCCCCCCC